ACAGGCAGATTTCTGCTTCTTCGTGACCTGAGACACAGCTTCCAGCCCCCAGCTCACAGCCCAGCTCTGGGCCCAGACTAGTCTTATTATCGCTTTCTACCTTTGCACACAAGGAGGCTGGGGAGGTGGGGAGATGTAAAATTAGCCCACTCCATTCCCCTCCAGAGAAAATAGAACACTGTCCCCTTGCCGGAGAGGACAAGGACATGCTCATTCAAAGGACTCCCTAGTCAAACTTCCCACCTGCAGGTTTTACTGTGTTTCACAGTTTGCAAAGAGCTTCCATTCCCATAGCAACCGCCCCCGATAATTCCTCCTTGGGTTCCTGACAGCTAATTCATTTTGCACCTCGTTGCCAGATATCTTCTAAAATGGAGTTTGGTCATGCCGCCCTCATCCTCAAACACCCACAGTGGCCTCCCACTGCCTGCAGAGACGAAGCACAGACACCCCCAGCATTACGTGTCCCCCGTTACGGAGCCCCACATTGTCTTTCAGCCCCAATGGCCACCTTCTCCCTACACATTAAGTAAGACACTCCGTGCCCTGCTGGCCCCCACTCGATGCCTCTCCTCTTGGCTCTCCGGCTAAGCCCACTCCCTCAAGGCCTGTTCCCTGGTACACCTGCCCTTCTCTGCATTTTCCGGTCAGAATTAGCCACTCCTTCCTCAGTGCCATCACTGCAGATGGCTGCTGAGTCGGCTCTGCCGATGCCCTGCCTCGGTTTCCTGGCAGGTCTTTGCAGCCCTTCCTCTACAGACAATGAGTAGGTTCCTCAAGGGCACTGACCATGAGTTCACCTTTGTGAATGGAAGAAACCCAAACTCTTCTATTTATAGGCAACACAACATCCTCCCTGGGTATAGCATCCTTTCCTAGCCAACTCCTCTCTGTCCTTTTCTTTTTTCATATATCAATCAATGTGTGTTAAAAGGAGATAGGAGGAAGTTGACGTCAGCTGAAAGTCACCCCATGGTGAACATTGCAGCTGCTGTCACTGTGAGGCACACACCTGGTGTAGAACGGAGCGAGGAAACCGGTCGAGAACCACCGCTGGGCAGCCATGGGGTTCTCTTTCTAGCCACTGGTAGAAAGAAGGGGCCTGTTTTGTCTCAACCCATAATATGGGCATATAAGACATCCTACACTAGGGATTAAGTGAGGCAGCTTGGGGACTTCAGAGGGTCATTGCAGAATGACAAGAGCAGGTGTTTACTAAATAGAGAGGTCAGAAGAGGCCATCTCTCATTATGGGAAAGGCACCATATGGGCTCAGCCCACTGCAGATGGGATGTGGGCCCTACAGAGTTGCCAAATGCCTTTCTCTAACGTGATCCTCCCAAAGCAAAACCCAGCACAGTTTTCACACTCGACCCTGCCAGCAGCATTGGCCTTGTTGGGTTTCAAAGTCTCTCCTTCCTTGCCCTCTCCTGCTTTCCCTCTGCTGGTCCCTGTCTAAATCCCCTGTACTTGATTATCTTTTTGAGTCCAACTCACATTTGTGATATTCTGGCTCCTGCTGGGGATACTGTCCCCAGACAACTCACTGTGGGGCATCAGTTGCTACCTAAATGCAGAAGAGCCAAGCTCTGGTCTATGTCTGTGATCTTTTTGAGCTCTGGATTAGAATTTCTCCTAGCTGGACACCCCTGCGATGGAGGGAGAAACATTCCTTTACCCTCAAGCTTCTTTCAGCTAGTCTAATAATTAGACATGAGACAGATTAGCAAGAGAAAAGAAACATATGTATGGGAACCCCATATACGTGAGAGACTGACCTTCACATGCACAAGAGGTTCAGAGACAGGAGGACATGTGTATATAAGACATTCTGAGCTGGGGTTAAGCAAGGTGGCTCGGGGTTTCAAAGGGTCATTGCAGAATGATGAGAGCAGTTGTTTAGTAAATAGAGAGGTCAGAAGAGGCCATCTTCTCTTATGGGCAGGGCCCCTAATTCAAGTTCTTGTAGGTGGTTGAGGGAGGGGCATTAAGTTTCTCTTGAGTTCACAGCTGTAGTTGCCTTTAGCTCAAAACTATCCACATACCTCGAAGGCACATTTTAGGGTGATTTGTTCTGAACCCCAACACCCCAAAGTCACCTCAGTTTTCTTCCTAACTAATATTGTAAAAAATCCTCACCTCAGGACATTTTTTCATTGCTTTTAGAGAGAGAGGAAGGGAGAAACATCAGTGTGAGAGAGAAGCATCAGTCAGCTGCCTCCCACAGGTGCTGGGACCAGGGATCGATGTGTCCCAACTGGGGCCTGAACCTGCAACCCAGGTATATGCCCTGACCAGGAATTGAACCCACAGTCCTTCAGTTATGGGAGGACGCTCCAACCAACTAAGGCACGCCAGCCAGGGCCTAACCAATACTTTTATTGGGAGAAATAGACTTGCATTATTGGCTCCACCTCCACTGTCTTCACCCCTCTGCCTCACTGTGGCAGTGTATACACCCCCAACCCTTGATGTGGGTTTGGCCGTGTGACTTTCTTTGGCCGATGAGGTGAAAGTGATAGTGTGCCCAGGTTGAACCTCTGATGTCGCCATGGGAGCAGCCGCCCCTACGTAGCTGCAGCCTCCTGACTCCGGGTGGAAATGAACACCCGTGGAGCAAAGTGCCCCAGCCAACGTGCAGCCCTAAGTAAGAACCACCACGGTAGAGCAGAGCCATGGGCCCCGCTGACCCCCTCAACTGTGAGAGCACAGGCTTGTGGTTTTATGTCACTGAATGTTGGGGTGGTTTGTTACGCAGCATTGTTGTAGCCACAGCTAACCCAAACAGCCTTACTCAGAGATGACATGTATGAAATATAGATGCGCAGGTAAAAATGCGTTATTCTGGGAAAACCAACATAACCTTCACCAAGGTCAGAAAATAAACACTGCTCAAGACCTCCACACGCCTCTGCCTGGTCACCACCGCTGCCCTCGGCCCCGGAGGTGACCACAGCTTTCGTGGTTAGAACACTTGATTTTCTACTTCTCTCCGCAGCTTACCATCCACACGTGCCTCCCTAAATTAGATGTGTGTTTGTTTTTGATCTTGATGTGACTGCAATCTTCCTACTTGCATTGTGTGTGTGTGTGCTGATTGATTTGCTCAGCATAGTACTTGAGAATCATCCAAATTATATGCAGCTACAGTTCGTTCACTTCCATTGCTGTGTAACACTCATTATATGAACAAACTATTAATGGATCGTTCACGTTTCCAGCTTTTTGTTATTACAAACAACCTTGTGTAATCATTCCTACATATCCGGGGCCGACAGACTTTTTCCATAAACAAGCAGATAGTTAAAATTTTAGGCTTTGTGGCCATATATGGTCTCTGTTGCAGTCTTCTTTATTTACAAATGAATTTTTAAGTACTTTAAAAATGGAAAAGGCATTAAAAAAATGGAAAACGAGTTTCTAGCTCCAAAGCCTTACAAAGAGGGATTGCGAGCGGGACTTGGCAGGTCCGCTGTGGTTGGCTGAGGGACGCTTCCTGATCTCCCTGGTGCATGCGCACAAGTGCTTCTGCAGAAGCAACCTGGCTGGGTGTGGGGTTTGCTCATCTTGAGCCTCCCTAGGCGATGCCAGCTCTTAAAGGCAGCACGTAGAAAAGGGAAATTTCATCTTCTCAGACAAATGAGTCTGTGGGCTCTGGCTTCACAGAGACAGTGACCTTCCTGAGGTCCCCGTGGGACCTGAGCCCTCTCATTCCAGAAGGTGTGGTGAAGGGTGCCGTTGTCAGGCTGGGTGCTCATCGGGGTGAGCCAGGGAGGTGGGGCCGGGCAGCCCAGAGCAGGGAGTCACATTGGGCCTTGAGTCATGGTGGGGAGTTTGGATTCCATTCTAACTGGAATCGAATTCCAGTGGGGGCAGGGTGTGAAGCGGGGTGCTGACAGGCCTGAGCTCTGTTTTAAAAGGATGCTTTGGCTGCTGAGAGTGGATTTTTAGGGAACAAGAGAGGAGGTGAGGAGACCAGAAAGTGGAGAAGGCCACTGCAGGAGTCGCATGAGAGTGGTGGGAGCTGTGGCCAAGCTGCCCAAGCCAGGCCTTGGCCTCTGCCGGCTTCGGCCACCTGGAACTTCCACGCTCACCCCCTTGCACATCCTGTACCCCATTCCTGCTGAGGTCCCCTCCCCTAACCCAGTGAGCACGGTTCAAACAGCCTGCCCACTGTCAGTCCTTCCCTGGCTGGTGTCACCCCCAGGCTCCCCCAAGAGGCAACTCAGTGGCCCCACTTCATACGAGTTCATAATCAAGGTGATACACACCCTAAGTCTGTTTCCTCAGTGAATTGCAGGCAGCCCTCATCTGTGCGTTCCATCTCTGCTGTAGTCCCATCACAGCCATTGAGTGGGCATTGGAGGACGAAGGAGGAGCTGCGTGCATGGCCAGGCACCTACGGGGGAGAGCAGCAGGGCAGATTCCTTCCTCACTGTGGTGCCAAGGCAACCCAGGGCCCCGCCAACGAGCCCACAGGCAGGACACTGAGAAAGAGGCCGTTAATCAAGTGGCTGAGCCGGACCAGATGGGGTGGAGAGGCTTTCGGAGTAACTGGCACCCAGGCTGTGCCCGAGGGAGCGAAGCGAGAGGCTCCCAGGCTTGGGCCCTCCCTAGAATGGAAGCCCAGAACACACCTTACTGTTGCTTAACAAAGAATAAGCCTCTCGTATCTCTCCTCCTGCCACATTAGCGGTTGTTACAGCCACCTGTGCCCCGAGATAGGGCTGGAGGCACTGCTCCTACTCCACGTGAGTTCTTGGCACTTCTCCTCCCTGTTCTCCAGATAAGTTGCAACACCCAGAGATAATTAACTAATAAAAAAAGGTCAAACGGTCCAATTAGTTGACTGTTGAGATTCTGGAGAAGGAAAAAGGGAGGCTAGAAAGGCTGAGCTGGGTTAGAAGGCTGGTAGAAGTTTAACCAAGTTATGTGTTTGTGTTGCTTTTTGGCTAGAAGGTGAAGAAAAGTATGCAACAGCGTACGCCTGGCCAGAGTGACTGAGGGCTTTTTAGGTAATGAACACAGCTTCGGTGATTCAGCTCTATATCACAGAGTTATTCACCCTCCTAAGGCTTATAAAACCAGAGACTCCAAGAGCACCCTTGGTGTTGCCCATAATTTTGAGAATTGCAATAAGGAAGTCACTTTAGAATTATCAGGATCAGCGGACCAGGGTGATAACATCGCTGGTTACAACCAGGGGAGAAGCAGGAACTCTGCGTACTCAAGGAGAACAGGTAATGCTACCCTGACATAAAATGAGACAAACATTCCCTGTTTGGGCTGAGGAGGAGCCTGCTCCCCAGCCCCGTCTACAGGTCAGCCTGACCTACAGGGCACACTCCTGGTGTATTCCCAGCAGAGGAAGAATGTGGGCAGCTGCAAGGTACAGCTGGTTCCGTGCTTCCAGAAGAGACCCCGGGTGGCTCAGTGGGTTGGCTGTCGTCCTGCAAAGGTCGCCAGTTTGATTCCTGGTCAGGGCACATGCCTGCGTTGCTGGCTCTGTGCTCTGCCCCCATCAGCGCTCCTGCAGAAGGCAGAAGGCAACCAAACAATGTTTCTCCCTCACATCATTGTTTCCCTCCCTTTCTTTCTCCCTCCCTTCTCCTCTCTCTAAAATAAAATTTAAATTAAAAAATTTATTTTAAAAAAGAAGAGACCCCCTAGGGTAGAACCTGGGCAGCTGCCTGCAAGGTGGAACTGAGCCTTGTTGCATCACCTGATTTCTTTCTAGAACCCTCTCTTGCTTCCTTCTGTTTATATGCTAAAACTCTCTTTTTCTGGGAAAAAGTCTAGGTGGTTATTTTTCATTTTCAGAAACCCTCAGGGAGCAAAATGAGCCTGTAAGGCCTAGTAGGGGAACAAACCAGCTGCTGCACCAGCTCCCTCGGGCTGGACCACTCCTGCAGGGGCTCAGAGAGCGCCTGGCGCTCTGCTTCTTGGTTTGGTAGATGTCAGTGAGGTGTCGGCACAGGCCAACGCTCCAGTGAGCCTCTGCTCACCCAGCTCATCGTCCTCCTCCAGGCCGGCCCGACTCCCTACATTCTCTGCTCGACCCAGCCCAGAGGCCCAGGGTCATTCTGGATTCCGTCCTCCTCTTTCGCCCTCCTTTCCCTTCTCATCGTCCCAGCTCCCCTACCACCTAATCAATCACCGAGTCCTCTCAGTCTCATCTTCCACAGCCTCCAGGGTACAAGGTCGGTAATGGATGACTCCGGGTGGCATCATCCTATCCTCTCTACTTGTGTGCGAGTCTGAATGTTTCTAAAGCAGAAAGTGCAATTTCACAAAAGAGAGATCAAGTTGCTCGAGTGGGTCCCTCTGCCCGGATGGCTCCTTTGCCATCCCTCCGCCTCCTGGCGGTGCCCTGCTGAGCTCTGAGTCTCCACCTGCTCCATCCCCCCCCCCCTTGCCTGACAGAGGTTCTTCCCTCACTGCTGAGTGGAGGTGGCGGCAGGGTTTCCTCTCGCCAGACAATAGTTTCAATTGCTTTTAATTGAAGGAGTTACCAGACATGAGACATGGATGGGCAGTCTGCCAGGCGTGCTTTTTACCCCGGCACTGGGGGATCGTGCCCGGGTTCTAGGCCTCGCACAGCCACCAGTCAGGCAGGAGGACAGGTCCCGTGAGGAAGAAATGCACAAAAACAGCCCCAGCCAGCCCTTGGCCAGTGCTTCCACTTTCCAAGAGATTTGAAGATGTTATCATCTCCTTTGGATCTCAAAACAGACCCATGGGGAAGGGAGGGCACATTTTAAAGTTACTTCAGCCAGTGCTTGGCGAGATCCAAAGTGAGCCCCTGCCCCGACCCCCTCCCCTGAGGAAGACTAACACAGGTCCGGTTCCAGCAATTTACCGGCCCCGCCTCAGCTGACTCACTTGTCTGAAACGCGGTCAAGGGCCGAAGCCAAGGGAGAAGAGGAGAAGCTTTGTAGGAAGAAAAGCAGACACATATGTCAACTTATTAAGACGTATTTTTAAAGGCATGTGTTTTTAACCATGGAAAAAACACAGGGTGAGGGCTGATCAGCCACAGGAAAGGGCTGATTCTTTGGAAAGACCAACCTGACGTGTGCAGAGGTGAACTGATATGCCCAAAGTGATTCTAATAATAGCAGGGAGAGTAAACGGTCATAATAGCAGCAGAAAATGCTTATTCTGCAACAGGAGCAGCAAAAAGGGCTTTCCTCATGGAACCCCTACCATGACCCTGTGACAGGAGTGTGTCCTGTGTAAATGGCTGTGTCCTTTGTGTAGATGAGGAAACAGGAATGGGTCACCGCTCTGATGGACTCCTTGGCCCCTGGCCCTGTGACCACTGCACGGGACGTCCCCCAGCTGAGCCATATCCTTTCCCAGTTACAGTTGGAGCTGGGAAAACACTCTGATTCCTGCACAGGAGTCTTTTCCATTATGCATTCCCACCATCCTCTCAAATGGTTGCAGGGGCCTTTCCCAGCCCTCGGGGAGTGTGACCAGCAAATCCCACCTGCGGGAAACTCTGCAGGTCTACCACAGAGAAACTGGAGGGAAGGGAAAGCTCCAGGGGAGATCCAGACAGGAGGGAGGCCTAAAAGATGCACCCAGTTAAACACAAACAAGACTAAATAAACCAGAGTGTCTGGTGTGCACGCCCGGGGGGGTACAACTAGAAAAAGCTCAAGTGTGTAATTCCTGTGGAAGTCAGGGGTCACTACTGTTTGGGGGAGGGAGCGGCTTGAATGGGGTGGGAGGGGTGGACCCAGAAGGGACTTCGGGGAAGAGCTCTACTCTTAGATCTGGGTAGTGGCTACAAAGGTGTTCACCTTACAGGAACTTATGAAAGCCATACATTTGTTTTGCATGATTTTCTCTAACTGTGCTGTATTTTATTTTTAAATTCATTTTATTTTGGGGTGTGTACTTTTGTTTTATTTGACAAAAAATGATTTTAAGAAGCCCTGGCTAGTGTAGCTCAGTGGATTGAGTGGTGGGCCTGCGAACCAAATGACTGTGGTTCGATTCCCAGTCAGGGCACAGGCCTGGATTGCAGGCCAGTTCCCAGCAGGAGATGCAAAAGAGGCAACCATACATTGATATTTCTCTCCCTCTCTCCTTCCCTTTCCCCCTAAAGATGAGTGAATGAAATGTAAAAAATGATTTTAAGAATTTACCCAAGGCCAGTCCAGTTCCACCACACTAAGGCCACCCCTTCCAGTGTTGCTTGCCCGTCCTGTCTTTGACCCCATCATGATCCACTCAGAAGCCTCCCATGAGACAAACCAAGGCCCAGGTAGATTCATTCTAACACAAAGCGTGTGCACAGGCAGGCCTGTGTGTGTGTGCGGGCACGCGACCCAATCACACGTGTTCCCCCTCTCTCACTTCTCAGATTATAATTTACGAGTTATGACTCTCCTTTCAAGTTCAAGTCCATGGATCTTGGTGGCCACTTTCAATCTTTAGTGCCTGCAGTTGAGGAAATCCACCCTTAGTCTTAACTGTACAGAAGGTGCTCACCCCCCTAATTTGCTTACTGACTGATCTTCCTTACATGACTTGGAGAGAACTTCTCTCTCTCTTGCTTGTGTCGACTTTGTTACCTGATTCTTCTGTAAGCCTGGTGTTCTTACCATAGATGTGCCCCTTTTCTATCTCCCGTGGCTCTTTGCCTTTCTTTATCCTTACTCTTTGCTTCACATAAATTTTTGCTCCTTCTTATAAATTTGTGCCCTCTGCATTTGGAAAGAAAGTGGGGGAAAAATCGTTAAAAGGCAGCAAAGAAAAATGGCAATAGAGAGACCTCCTACTGTCTCTGTCCGGGCCACACAGGCCCTCCACTGGCCCAGTGCAGGAAGGTCAATGGTCCCTGCCCTCTGCCCACAAACAGGCACAGGTGGGAGCAGAGGCGGTATCCCGTTGCCTTCTGTCATCCCGTGTACACTGTGGAGCATTTACAGAGTCTCTTCTCTTCAACAGGTGAGAAGAGCCTTGCTGCAAAGGAGCACAAAGCTCCTCAGTGAAGCCTGGGCAGGAAAGATAAAGTGGAAAAACCCACAGTCAAAAAAGGAAAGAAAAGCAGAGGTGTGGCCTTAGAGAAAGGCAAATAAGTGCCTGTTATCCAATAACACAGCCGCTGGCTCTCACCTAAGTACTAAGGGGTTCTCTCTTCCTTTGGTGCCCAAAAAGGACAGAGTACAATCTTCTTTGCCCAGAAGCAGTGAGGTCATTGCTTTTCCCTTGAGCCTGCTGTTTCTCCTGCTTTCTTGTGGGCTGTTTTTCCCCCTTGACTTTTCTCTTCCACCCTCCCTCCCTCCTTTGTGTGGGAAGGCCCTGGTGCACACCACCAGACTTGGGTGTGCACCAACAGATGGAGCACAGGAGGAAGTGAGAGCAAAGCCGGTTAGTTCCGCCATCTTGGCAGTTCCCCTCCGAGCACTCGGTCATTTTGACAATGCTACAAGGACCAGTCAGAGCACAAGGCTTGCAGACCTTTTCCACAGTTGTCAAGCTCAGGGGGGACTGAGGTGATAGGAGCTCGAGACTGGGTTCGATGGACTGCAGATGGGTGTGGACAGGACGAAAATTATGTCCCAGGCTGTATCACCTCAGGGCTTTTACAGGTGGCAAAGTCCCCTGGATCCCTCAAATACCCCTGTCACTGCTTTGTGACCTCTGTCTGAGCAGTGAGCCTACCATTGTTCTCCACTGTTCAGTCAGTGTGTGTGGGAGGAGAAAACTTCCCTCTGTTTTCAAGGTTCTGCTGGCTGGTCTAATAATCAAATAGTCAGGAGAGAGGTTGGCACAAGAAAATAAACAAATTGAACATGAACATATGTTTGGGAACCCTGCTTACATGAGAGTTAGAGACTCTACCTGCCCAAGAGGTGCAGAGATAGAAAGGGGAATTGAGACATGTAAGACATCCTCAGCCAGGGATGAGATAATGCATCTTGGGGGCTTCAAAGGGTCATTGCAGGATGGTGAAAAGAACAGAGGTGAGTTCGTCTTGCCCTGTAAATAGGTCAAAAGAAATTATCTGGTAATCTCTCACTATGGGCAAGGTCCTTAATTCAAGTTGTTTGAGGTAGTTAAAGGGAGGGGTAGAAGTTTCTCTTGAGCCTAAAGCTAAAATACCTTTAGGTCAAAGTAATCTGCATACCACACACAGAATACATCTTGGGATGACTTATTCTGAACCTCCTCAAATGCCTACTTGCTGAGTGCCTGCCCTTAACACTCTACAAGCTGCTGTGGG